TCCTCTTTGCAGGACTAGCTGCCAAAGGTGGACCCGGCAGCCTTGGAGCTTTTGAAGCCGGCTGGGGTATCACACCAGCCGGTCTTTTGTGCATGCTTGCTAGTGATTTTGGCATGCCTTGGGTTCCACCCTGAAAATAGTCAAAACAAAGCAATCAGTTAGAAACAAAGGCAGATCATATGTCATCCGGTAAGAAATGGAAGAGGTTTTACTCCATTCTTGGCGGCCAGTGCCGCCTTCTTCTCTTCGATTTGCTTCTTTCTCAGCTCAATAGCTGAGAAGGCAGGTGTCTTTTCAGGAGGCACCATTCTTTTAGCTTTACCTGCAAAAAAGGGAAATTCGAGTTAGAGCGTGTACGCATAATCAGGCGTCAGAATACCGGATGGGTTAATGAACCTACTCTTTTTAAACATTGAACTTAGATTGCAAAGGGACAAGAAGGACTCGTCCCTGAACCATTCCGGGAGGGGTACCCAGAACTTTGGGATGATGATTTCACTACCGTCCTCCATCAGATGGGTCGTTTTGAGGAAGAGACCCGTCTCCATTATTTGGTCCCAGGCCTCAGACGGCACTTTCGGGAGCGCGCATTTTTTTTGCCCAGCAATGCCGGGTGCTTATTATACCGCCGCAGCCGGTGATTTAGGGAAGTGGAAGGAGAAGAGACGACATAAAATTTGCTCTTCCAGTTGGTCCACTTTGATGGCTTCTCCAAAGTCATCATGTATTCTTGGTTGGTGGTAAGGGTGTACCAGGCATTCCACCCACCCGGAGCCCGGCTGAGGTAATGCATGTGTGCAAAAGCCTCCCAACTGGGGTTCACCTCCTGCAGCTCACATGCGGCAATGTACCCCAAAATATTGACCCAAGAGTTAGGAGTCAATTGCCATACGCCCAAGTCATACCCCAGCAATATGTCCTTGATGCAGGGGTGAAGGGGGAACCGGAGGCCTGCTTTGAATGCCGCCTCATAACAGCCGAAAAAATCATCGGCATGGTCCAAGTCGTCCGTCCATACGACGGCTGCATTAACAGGCGGGACTCTTATTTCCCAGTCCTTCCCAACTGGTTTCCTTTTAAAAAGAAAGGCAGGAAGGGTTGCAGTAAGGGTGACCACGTCTCTTGCAGACATGGTCATGTCAGTCGGATCTCCCTTAGCCGGCCATTTGTAGGCCTCTTCAACAATAGGCTCAGCCTCCTGTGCAGGGGCTTCAGATTCGGACCCAGACCCTTCTCTAGCAGATTCATCGCCGGATCCTTCGGCATTAGAATCAGAGTCTTCTAATATGCTGTCACCCGGTGTGCTCGGACCACTCGGGGAATCTTGACGAGTCCCCAGGGTTTCTTCCAAAGGAATTTCACCAGACGGTCCTGCCGTCTGGTCCTCGTTTCTGGGATCAGCCGGATCTTCGGCTGCGTCGTCGGATTTGTAATCCGGGTCAACTGCCGTCCATCTTATCCGAGCCATTCTGTCCTGCACATGAACAGAGACGATCGGATTCGAGGTAGGTGAAGGTTCGCCCAAATACCCCCAGACGGCAGTCCCAGTCCTAGACTCAGCCGTGCCTGGTGACCGCCTGACAGCAGTCGTAAACTGTGCCGAGTGTATAATTGAAGGGTCCATATCCTATCTATGCAACCGGAAAATTAACAAAAAGAATTGAAAAAGGGTGCAGACGGTACCTTTGGAGGTTGGAATTTGCTGAGATGGTGGCTTGAAACCTACACAGGCGGAAATCTCCGAATGTGTTTGAAGCTGATAAAGAAAAATAGATCAGACATGTTTAATTGGAAGCTCATTTAAAAGCCCCCCAAGCGGTGGAGTCCCGGATGAGGGATAGCAAAGATGGGCTGGAAATTGTTCAAACGACCCCCATACGGTTAAAAGCCGGATGGGGGCTATTTGTATGTTTGAGAAAAAGCTAAAGGCTGCTCAAACAACCCCCATACGGTTAGACGCCGGATGGGGGCAATTTAAACAACGTTTGAGAAAAAGCCAAGGCTGCTCAAACGACCCCCATACGGTTAAAAGCCGGATGGGGGCAATTTGAAACAAAGTGTGAGCCAGGGCTGCTCAAACGACCCCCATACGGTTAAATGCCGGATGGGGGCAATTTGAATGATGTTTGAGAAAAAGCCAAGGCTGCTCAAACTACCCCCATACGGTTAAAATGCCGGATGGGGGCAATTTGAAAGATGTTTGAAAGCAAAGGTTGATCAAACCACCCCCATACGGCTAAAGGCCGGATGGGGTTACTTGTGACTAGTCTGAATAAAAACAAAGTTGGCTCAAAGGGGTCCCATGCGGCACAATGCCGGATGGGTGTATATTAAACATCCCAGACGGCAAAACGCCGGATGAGGGGGATTTTTGGACTTGCCCCAAGCCAGCCCCATGCGGCAAAATGACGGATGAGGGCATATTACAACTAGGGAAATATTTCAAAAACCACACGGGAAATCCCGGATGAGGTAGGGGTAATTCAGAAATTTTTGGACAAAATATACCCAGGCGGCAAAATGCCGAGTGAGGTCCTTAATCTAGGGGCAAAAACAGGGAGAATGCAGACGGTACCTTGCTAAATCCGTACTCAGCCGGAAGGCAGATGTCAAGTACTTGCGAAAACCGGATGCTCGAAAGTCTTGAAAGAAGCAGCCGGTATCAGAGGTTCTCAGGAAATTTTTGAAAATAAAAAGTGCGGAGGAAAGAGGTAGCCACCCTACTTATAGAAAGAGGCAGAAGGCGAACAGTCACCTTCTGCACGAAAATTTGAAATTCAAAAAAAAAAAAAAAAAAAAAAAAGAAGAAGAGGGGGGAAGCAGACGAACCGTCACTTACCCCATGCACCCTACGTCTGTCACAGATGACACGTGAGCTTGCCACATCTCACCTGTGAGGGGCAGATGTTTAGGGTGAAAATACCCTAAGACACGTGGCCCAATAAAGGCTTGACACGTGTCAATCTTCAAACGGTCTGCAAAGGCCCAATCCCTTTGCAGACACGTGTCCCCTATACCCTAATTGAGGTACAGTTCTCCCTTTCTATAAATAGTAAGGGTAGACCTCATTTATGAGGATACATTAATTGCAACCACAAAAAAACCAAACAAAGCCCAAACCTACTGAAACGCTCTCGAACCGAGAAACTTTTACTGTTCTTATTCCACTTCGAAAAGATACTAACTTAATCTTCGGAGGCGGAACTCCCACCCCCCATCCGGAGTCTCCGTTACTTGTGCAGGTACAGGCGTAAGAAGGAAGTCTGCTAGGTGCAGGTACAGGCGTAAGAAGGAAGTCTGCTAGGAAATTGTAACTCTCCCGAAGGACACATAGAAAACCCCCAAACATGTATACTGTTGAGAATGCCAAAACGTTTACCTTAATCGAGATAAACCCAACAAAAAACCTCAAGTGGTCGTTCAATCATGCACAATCTCACCCACAAAATATGATACACAACATAGAGGAAATATTACCTGGGGAACTAGCCTATTTACCCTAAGTTTTTGAATTGAGTGATAATCACCTTCTAAGCATTCTTCATACATATTCATCAGTTTTTCTGCCACTTATAATGTTTCAACAGAATAATCTAGATTAGAGTAAAGCAATAAGCTTGTAACGTCAATTTGGAAAAAGTTATTCTTCATTAGCAAATTGATACAAATTGATATAAAAAATAACCTCCACACATTCCCCTTCATTCCCCATCAAATTCAAGCAATCCATGCCTTCACAAAGCAAATCTTCTAAATCATCAATGTATAGAGGTTCTGAGAAAGAGAAGAGCATTTGCATCAAAACTAAAGCCAAAATTAAGAACCCTATAATGTTGTATAAAGCATGAACTTCTATATCCTTTTAAAACTTAAACTAGACTAAGTATAAGGAAACCAAACCAAAGTACACATCATTCATTTCTAAATTCAACAAAATCATCAACCATACGTAGCTCAAAAAATGTTATCCAATAGATAAGCACATAACAAAAAAAAAAAAAAAAAGCATTCATTTATTTCTAGGGGAGCATAGACATGCAAATGTACCACAACAGTTGAAAATAACGTATAAGTATTCAACACAAAATCATCTTTTTTAAAGTTTTCAGCATGTTGATGACTACTTCGCTATAGCTCATAAATTGTGTTGTACTTTGATGGTATCATTGAAGTCAAAATTAGTATAAAAATAGTACATGAGATGAAATATCAATCCAACCACCAAAAAACAGGAGAAGTAAGAAACACCATGACCATTGTTCTTAGGTTGGCAGAAGTAACTAAGAACAGAAGACTCGATAGAGTTGGCTTTTTCACGCAAATAACGGCCTCCCCACCCTTGACTCAGTGCATCTTGGAGAGCAGCCCAAACAGAGAATACAAGTGATACCCCTTCTTGAAATTGCTTAAGGGCATCTGCTGTTAGCTTTGACCTCTTAGAAGCTTCCATTGTGTTGCTGTTAAGATGAAGGACATCAGACCTCCAAAAATAGTTAACGTTGAATCATTATAAAAAAAACTCCCTTTGTTTCATATTGTTTTTCCTATTTGACCGATTTAGTCTCACAAAAAAAATATGAAACACAGGGAGTTATAACAAAAACAATAGCTTCAGCAACAACAAATCACTCTCAGGGCCAAGGCAAGAGGAGACCAGGAGAAAAATTCTATTTTTATATCACAAAAGAGAGGTTAAAATAAAAACCTTTCACAGTTGTTATCTCACATACAAATTTTTGCAAAACATAGCAATTATAATAAGGCACAAATTGATATCTAACACTGAAAGCTATCATCAAAGCAGTATACAATTTTAGTGTGATTCTAAGCTCTAATGAACATTTCAATATACCAATATAGTATCAACCAGAAAACAAGGAAAAGCTGCTCACATAGCACTATTAGAATTGTTTTTAAGCACAACGATAACAGGATAAGCAAGTTCACATCTTTAAAGCTCCCCTCTTTAATTACATAATCTCCCTCATTGGAACTAAAGATAATTACATCTTCCAAATTCCAAAACTCAATCTAATTCTCTTATGAACTAATGATATTAAAATTACCCTTCATCCAAACACACATTCACTCATTACAAGTACTCGTATTTATTTTTTACAAGTGATATATAATATATTTGGAAATCGAAGTTGAAAAAGTCAAATATATAATACTAGTAAAAAAACACAAATGTACACCGACAAATGGGCGCCGATTTTTAAAAACTGGTGCCTAAAACACGAGTCCATACCCAAACAAAATAAAAATCAGCTTACGTGCACCGGTTAACCGATGCCTTTATCCCAACAATCCTTCGTCCGGTGCCTTAATCCCAAAAAATAAAAATAAAAAAACCAAACACCCTCTCTCTCTCTCCCCCCTCCACCTTCGAACCTTCCACCGGCGCCGGCCCACTCTCTTCTCAACCTCTATCTCTCTATTTCTTCTCTCCTTTCATTCACCCTCTACATCCACTCTCCTCTCAGCTCTCTTTTTCTCTATTTCTTCTCTCCTCATTCACTATTGGCGGCGACGGTGAAGGTTATGGCGTCCATCGTAATTGAGGGTCTATTTCCTTACTAGTGCAGGATCTTTGAAGTGGTGGTGGATGTCTTCATGAAGGTATGTTGCTCTTCAATTTGAAATCTAGGGTTTTTTATTTTTATCAATTTGAAGGTCTATTTTTGCCTTTAAATACAATTTTTTGTGATTGGAGCTTTGATTACTAGTAAAAATGGCAATTTGGTACAATTGGCAAAGGAGGTGATTACTGCTGCTCGTAAATTGAGGGAAGTTTTGTATGCTGGAGAGAATTTGGGGAATTTTGATGTAATTGGCGGTGTTTCGGGTTCGAGTGGCGATGAAATTATGGAATTTGATGAATGTAGAGGTTGTGGAGTGTGTGTTGTATGAAGAGAAGCAGGAGATTATCATTGGGAGATAGGGTGTTTGTTGAAATGTGAACTTCCTATTAAATTACCTGTTTATAACGATTCAGGTAACTATTTCTAATTCGAAATTGTAGTTGCATTGTTAAGCTTATTACATGATATATTGTTTGTATCTTTGGGTTGTTTTTTGAAAATTTGGTGGATTTTTTGTGATGTTTGAATCACTTTAAGATTATTGAGTTCTTCTTTGATCAGTTATTTTGAGTTTACAGAGTTCTTTAGATATGGAGTAATCTAGCAATGCTTGTGCTTAGTTAAATAAATGACGTTAGCTGTTTGCGAAGGGGAACTATTCAATCACTGTGGCAAAGATATAACAAGGTGGCTGAAATCTTTTTGATTTTTCTTTCCTTGAGTCGAGCTATGCTTTTTGCAGTGTTGAATAGTGTAGATTTATGCTTTTGTTCCCAGTGCTTCACACTGGGAACAAAAATTTGTTTAAGAAGCCTATATCATATCTTATTGGTTCCTATGTTATTTAGTTATATATGCATGGTTTAACTTTTTTGTAAGATAAATAGCTGAAGGTTTAGAAGGCGACTTCCCCAGATTCAAGTCTGTTCTTAATATATATATATATATATATATATATATATATATATATATTTTTTTTTTTTTTTTTTTTTTTTTTTTTTTTGGCAGCTCAGGCTCAGCAGCTGTGCAGGATACTGATCATTGAGTAGTCTTGGACAGTTGTGAATTATTATGGACTTCAATGATAAGTACAGGATACCAATGCTGCATTCCAAGCTCTCACTCCCTTAATCCCTTTCCCCTCCTAAAATTATTACTGACTTATCTGACATGTATAGATTTGTTTTCACAGATTGCTCCGTCTTAGATTTTTATATACTGGTATGTATGAAAAGGCTAGAAGTTAAAGAGTAGAACTCATATAACTTCAACTCTGTCATGAAAGGTACACATTAACGATCTACGAGTTGCAATTTGTTTTAAAATTTCCAAGTACTTACTGTAGGTTATGTGGCAGAATACAAAGCTATACATGATTCATTCCAGACTCCTGACTATTATGCACGGGAATGTCTGCTTAAGGGTGAGCATGGTTTAGCTTTTTTTTTTAATATTACTTGCAAATTAACCTTGTGATTTTTTTGGGTTACTTGATATTAAAAGTTCATGGTTTTGTTTGTGTGGTATGCAATTGGCTGTATGTTGATAATTTCCATATTATTGCATAATTAATGAGATATATTTGGCTGGATATTGTTTTTTGCGTGCATTTTTAACTGGTATGATGGATGCATGATCAATTAAAGATATTCAATGCTTATTTTTTGTCTGAATTGAAGCAGAGACTATGCGAAACAAAAAAGGCCGCTGCTGCAGCTGGCCTGGCAAGGTTGCAGCTACTGCTGCCCTGCCTAGGCCGCTGCTGCAGCTGGCCTGGCAAGGTTGCAGCTACTGCTGCCCTGCCGAGGCTGCTGCTGCAGCTACCTGGCAAGGTTGCAGCTGCTGCTGTCCAGCCGAGGCTGCTGTTGCAGCTGCCCTGGCAAGGCTGCAGCTGCACTACTTTGCCGAGGCTGCTGCTGCTGCTGCTGGGTACCTCGTACCTCGCACCTCGAAGCACCTAGCATCTATTATGTAAAGGGACTTTGCATTTGTGTATGCCTGTATGTAAGCATATTTTTTGATGCTTTGTATGGGTTGCCTTATGTTACCACCTCACTAATCAATTTCAGCTTTCAAATCCTAATTTAAGTTAGCGTCGGTGTTCAATAAACTTTTAATTTATCATTTCATAATATTTTGTTTGGGGTTTTAATTGTTTACTTGTTTCTTAATATTAATTTATCTGATAGTTATTGTCCCATCCATTAGCTTAATTTAGATTTCTTGATTCATCTTGTGTTTTTACTACATATCCAAGTTTTTCATTTTGGCAGCTTGATTCATCTTGCTACTGTGCTATTCTGCTTTTTTTTTTTTTTTTGTTTTAAGGAAGTTGTTCTACTCTATGGGACAGAATGTTGGGTTTCTAAGAAGGAGCACATTAAAAAGATGGAGGTTACGGAAATGCAAATGTTAAGGTGGATGTGCGGAAACACTCTAAGAGATAGAATCAGAAATGAAGTTATTCGCAAGAAAGTAGGTGTGGCAGGCATTGCAGACAAACTAAGGGAAAAATCGCCTACGTTGGTTTAGGCATGTAAGACGGAGACCCGAGGGTGCACTGGTTCGACGAGTGGAAAAATGGGACCATTGAGGGGTTAAACGAGGGAGAGGGAGACCGAAAATAACTTGAGTGGAAGGAGTTAGGAAGGATATGAAGTATATGGATTTGCATGAGGATGAAGCATTGGATCGTAAGGGATGGAAGGATGATTTTGTAGATGACTACACGGAATAATCAAATTTGGTTCATGTAGTCGACCCCATTTATGGGATTAAGGCTTTGATTGATTGATTGAGGAAGCTGTTCTCCTATTTTGGTCATTGTAATTTTTCATTTTTTTGTTTTTTATGAAAAGTGTAAAACTACAAGTTATTAATAAAAAAGATATGTGTTTTAGGTATAATATGATTATATACAAGTGTGTGTTGTAATATGGGTGAAAAAATGCAAAAAAAATAAAATAAAATAAAAACTAACCGGTGCAAATAACCCTTATGTGCACCCTTCAAATGAGCGCCGATTCAAAACCTGTGCGAAAAGTCAGTTTTGAACCGGTGTTCATTTGCTTTTTTCTACTAGTGCAAGAATATACGGAATATCCCCAACCAGGAATAGGCCCGTCCCTAAACCAAGGAAGTAGGGAAGCAGGGGCAATCAACCAGAGAAAAAAAATCCCATTTTCACAATTTGATACTAATATACGAAGGTGATGCAACACATTAGAATTTTTTTCGCAAATTTTTCACAAAGTCACACACCCTCACAAGGCATACTCATAGCACACACTCATACGCACATGAAATAAATGTAAAAATGTACATACAGAAATATGTAAAGGCTAGAGAGTACATAAGAGTCAATGAATATACACAAGAGTCAATAAGTAAGAGTTAATAAACATGCGCAAAGTCCTATTGTCCAAATGCAGATACAGGTACACTAAGTCCCTGGCGGACGAGACTCCCGAGAAAGACTTGTGAGCCCCTCCTATATCCAAGTCCGAGGAGTCGTGTCCTAGCTAGAGCTAGCACCGCCTGTCGTAGGGATCACGATTGTAGGACCTCGCCAATGAGTGAACTGTGGCCCATCGGGGAACCTGCACTGATAAAAACTCCCACCAGCAAACGGAGGCGGAGGCACGAAAGGCTGTAAAGACGGATCAACCCTAGATGTCCCACTGGTAAACTGAGGTGGAGGCATGAAAGGCTGAGGAGACGGACTAGCTCTAGATGAGCCAGGATCGTATCCGGGACAATGTGAGGACACACCAGCGGAGGACCTATAGGTGGCGGATACGCACCAAGTTGCGAAGGCTCGAAGACTAAGCCAGTCTCACCACTATCCCCTGTCTGGCCAGTAGTCTCATGCTAACCTGAAGCCTCAGAAGAAGTCCGACGGCGTCTCGCTCCCGCCTTCCTCGAGCCGCCATGCCTCGAGCGAGTGCGCAACCGACCCCTCGGCATCAATATTGAGGACGAGCTAATAAAGACTGCAGGTAGTAACAATAATAACACTTGGAAAAACAAGAAGAACGACCTTCCTTCTTCTTTGTCTTCTAAGCCCGAAAATACTACCAGCAATATTAGCCAAGAGGATCTCAATGAAGCTTTAGCTCTTGACGCTCCCCTTTAAAAGAAAAAGAGAACTTACACTCCTTTGGGAATGACATACGACACTTCCTTTGACCGCCTTTACAACTAAGGCTTGATTACACCAATTAGGTCATTTCCAGAGCCAAAACCCGAACAAAGTAACGGCAGGTGGGACCCCAACGCTCACTGTAAGTACCATCAAGGAAGGGGTCACTCTACCGAGCAGTGCTGGAATTTAAAAGATGCTATTCAAGATCTAGTTGATGCCAACAAACTTCCTTTCCCTCCAGGCGGCAAGAAGTAGTGAAAGATAAAGCGCGCGACGAGTCCTTCGTCCAAGATTTCATGGTGTTTTTTATTTATCATTCATTTCCTTTCCCCCATTCATGTCTATTATGAGTGGCATTTATGCCACCATTTCACCCTTTTTCACTAGAGAATTCCCCCGATTTGTCACTTGTTTTTACCTCATCTTACCGTTTTACCTTTATTTTAGTTACTTTAGCTCCCTCTCGTGTTTTTCCTTCTCTTTTATCATTTCTTTTACTTTTTACCTTCTATTTGTGTGTTTTGATAGCTCCTAGCACTCGTGGGCAAATTTTGGATCGCTAGACGGAATTAGAGTTGCTAAGGTAGCTTGCTCAAGGAAGAAGAGATGATGCAAAGGATGAGGAGATGCTGCAAGGGAGAGGGCGCGCTGCTATAGGTAGCCGCGGGCGCAGGCTTCACAGCCGCGGCCGCGGACAAGGAGGATCCTGAGCTATGTAGCTGTTTCTGGAGATGGCTGGGAGATGGCCTGGAGAGGGCGCGACTCAGAAGGCTGCGGGCGCGACATTGCTGGCCATGGGCGCGACAATCAAGGCCGCGGGCGTGGCGATCTGGGTTTTCCCAACTTCGTACCCACGAAGGAGAGGGCGCGACATCTTGACTGGAGAGGATTCTCCCATGCCCGTTTGCCTTGTTTTAACAAGAGACCTATAATAGTCTTTGGCTTGAATCTTATGGCATCCACTATTCCATTGACATAAAAAACACTTTGTAGAGAGAGAATATGAACATCTTTTAGAGAGAGAAATTAGCTAGTCTTCAAGTTTCAATCTTTGTAATCAAGATATTCAAGTTTTCTTCAAGATTATTGCAACTATTTCATATTTGGCTAGTCCTTCATCATTTATAATAGTAATCTCTTTTCCCTATTCTCCTATCTTTAGTTTTATTGTTCTTATTTATGTTTTCTTCCATAAATTTCCTAGCTTTACTTGTTTCATTGCTTTCTCTTTGATTTAGAATCATGCTAAGTTGTGTTAGGATTGAATACATGTTTAGTTTAGTTGTCATGACTATTTTCCTTTCTCTAGCTTAGATTTCTAGCTAGGGAAGGGGGTGAAAATCATGTTTGCTTGAGTTTCTATTGATTGTTGATTGGGTTTTACCTTGAGTTGATGATTTGTGCTTAAATATGCTTGGAGTTATTGTGTGCACCTTTAACCCCAATATGTTAGTCCTAGATTAGATGCATGAGAATGATCTAGTTTAGGTTTGATTGATTTCATCAACTTGCTTTGAGTAGTTGCATGAGAATGAATTGCTTCGAGTAGAGTTTTTACTCCTTGGTATAAATCCTTATTGATTTTCATTAGTGTCTTGTTGATCATGATTGGAACCCCTTCTCCCTAGTGCTTTTTGCCCTTGTTATCTCTATAGTTTTGCCTTTCATTTTCACTTTAGAGTGTCTAGTTTAATCTCCTTATTTTTGGCTTGATTAGGTCTCTTTTGATAGATAGTTTAATTATAAAACTTCTCAAAACAACCCATAATATCGCCTTTGTCACTAGCAATAGATTCTAGATTTCACAGTAATCGTGCATGACCCCGTTTCTTTGGGATTCGACCCTAACTTGCCACTATCTCACCTAAATTTGATAGAGCTAGGTTAGGAGTAAAAATTGTAGATTTGATCTAGGGTAGTAGTAACTACCTATTATCCACCGATCAAATTTTTGGCGCCGTTGCCGGAGAAACGACTTGTTTTGCACTTTTGTTGCGTTATTATTGGATTTGTTGCCTTTTTATTCTGTTCCTTTACTCTCTTGCTAGTCATTGCTAATTGTTTGCTTAGCTTTGGTGGATGCAAAGGAGATCTCAAGGACCTCCTACACACTACATTGACCACGAAATCGACCGCACTTTGAGATTAGTCCGAAGACTTTATGAAGAAGAGGGGCGAGGTCTTGGTGCTATTTTTGATAGTGAGAGTGATTCTTGGTCTTCAAGTTCTCAAAGCGAGGAAATGGCGAGGCAAGAGAATGATGTTTTGTTTTGTGAGTTTGGAAATCCCGAGGATTATGAGCTCACGGGAGGGATTTTTCTACCCGGAAACAAACTTTACCATTCATCCTCAATACACTAGAATGGTTCAAGCGGAGCAATTTTTGGGTTCTCCAAGTGAAGATCCTATCGAGCATCTTGATAGATTTCTTGAGTTTTGTGCCATGATTCAAACCAACCAAGTTTCTCAAGAATACATCCGTATGCACTTATTCCGACAATCTCTTTCGGGTAGAGCAAAGAAGTGGCTCAAACAAGTCAAGCCAAACTCTCTCACGACATGGAGGGTGGTAGTCAAGGCATTCTTGAAGAGTTTCATTTCTGAAGAAAAGACCGCCGAGATGAGAAGGAAGATTGCATCATTTGAACAAGAAGCGGATGAGAGTCTTAGTGAAGCTTGGGAAAGATTTAAAGAGTTGGTACAAGCATGTCCTCATCAAGAATACAATCAAAGCTTGCTCATGAGATTCTTCAATGATGGGTTGGAACCTATGTCTAGAGCTAACTTGGATGTGGGGGCGGGTGGCCAATTGATTAAAGTCTCTCAAAATCAAGTTGAAACAACAATTGAAGAGGTAGTAAAGAACTACTATTAGGGTGGTAGAAGGAGGAATGCACCGAAGAAGGGTGGAAAGTATGAATTGGAGAAGGTTGATCAATTGCAACATCAAATTGAGCTTTTGACAAAAGGGCTTGCAAAGTTGAATACTAGTGTCAATAGTGGGGCAAGCTTCTCTCAAGTCAATTCCTTCTCTTGTCAAAATTGTGGTGGAACGAACCATGATACATCTTATTGTGGAGGTTTGAGCCCGGAGCATGTAGGGGCATACAACACAAGGCAAGGTGGATGTAGGGGAAGTGGCGGTGGAGTAGCTTGGAGGCAACCACCACCCGGACAATCACAAACTAACCCTTCCAACATTGTGTAACTCGACTCTTGCAAGGCAATCACATTGAGATCGGGTACGTCTTATGAGGGTCCCAAGGAGGGGGATAGTGAGGAAAAGAAGGAAGGAGAAGAGAGCGTGAGTGAAGACAAGGAAGTTGAAGAAGAGAAAGTTGTTGAGAAAGAGAGAAGTATGGAGAAAAAGAAGTCTAAGGATGTGGTGACATCTTCAACTCCTAGTGAGACTAGGAATCTTGATGGATCGGTTCCCTTTCCCGGCCGACTTGCGGAGAGGAAGTTCAATGACAAATTTGCAAAGTTCCTTAGTGTGATGAAGAACTTGCACATAAACCTCCCTTTCACTGAAGTTGTCACACAAATGCCTTTATACTCTAAGTTCTTGAAAGATATTCTCACCAACAAGAGGAAGATAAATGATGAGCTCATCACTCTCCCCCATCAAGTGAGTGCACTTGTTCAACATAAGATGCCCAAGAAACAAAAGGATCCGGGAAGTTTTACTTTGCCGGTAAAGATTGGAAACATGGAAGCTAGGGGCGCCTTAGCCGATCTTGGAGCAAGTGTTAGTTTGATCCCTCTATCCA